CATGTGCTATTCCAGATATGAAGAATATCGTAAACAAATATTTAAAAGAGATTGGCAATATGTATATGATATTTTAAGAGATATATTTAAAATTGATATGGTTGAAAATAACGTAAAAGATGATGAGTATTTGTGTTTAAAAAATGTTCAACATATTGCTTTTATGAAAAATCTTTTACAGACATTCCCTGATGGAAGATTTGTTTGGATTCATAGAGACCCTTTTAGTAATTTTAAGAGTTGTTTACACTTATATAAACAAACACAATTAATGTGTCCAACTGATGTTGGAATGAATGATAAAGAATGGTTAAACCAAACAGTTGTTTATATGACACAGCTATGTTTAAAAAATGCTATTGCTGCTAGAGATAGTTGGGTTGAAGAAAAACCAGAAAGAGCTCATCAGTTTTATGACGTTTCGTTTAAAGAATTTACTAAAGACCCCTTTGGAATGATTAAGAAAATTCATGAACATTTTGATTTGCCTTTTACTGAAATTACTCAAAATAATTTAAGAGCACATTTAGGTGAAGGTGATATGAAAAAGAAACATGGCTGTTCTACTTTAGAACCTGGATTAATGACTGTTACAGAAGAGTTTGTACGTGAACAATTAAAATGTTATTGTGATAGATTCCCCACAATGTTTTAAATTCATTGTTAATTATTTTAATTCATCTATTACTTTTATTATTTCTGTTTTATATCCCATTATATTAATACTTGAGTTTTTTATTTAAAATTGAAATAAAAATATTAAAAAAACCCTTTAAAAAGAAAAAAATCTCAAAAAATGAGAAGATAAAAAGTGAATGGCATATGCTAATCTTGAAACTGAAACAACTGGTGGATTCACACAAAGCTCACCAAGAAAAAATGTAGAAAATAAAAATGTTGTGTTTCCTTTAACTGCATTAAGTTTTATTCATACTGAATCTAATAATAAAAAACAATTCACATATAAACAAGTTGTATTAAATACTGTTGTTGTTTGTGGTAGAATAACAAGTATTGACATACAAAATGATGTTAAAAGATATACGATTAATGACTCAACAGGGAGTGTTGTTGTTGGAGTATATCAAACAGATTCAACAGAAGAAAATATTGAGTTTGTTTAATGGTCATTGAAGATTAACAAAAAAAGAAGAATAATTTACCTTACTAATTAGAGTTGGTCAATATATTAAATGTGTTGGTAAAATTAAAAAGTTTTCTCAAGAGACATATATATTAGCATCTCGACTACCACTTGTTGTTGATGTTAATCATATGATGACTCATTTGATTGAATGTGCTTATGCCCTTTCTAAACTTAAATGAATACAATTAATTTTTGTTTTAAATAGCAATATTATGAAGAACTTTAAAAAGTGTCTTTAATCTTAAAAAAAATTAACTTTAATGATGTGGAGCTAAATAGATAATTCATCATTTAACAAATTTTTCAAATCATTATTTTATTTTTAACAAATATAAGAATAGAATATAGCAGATTTTTACCAATAAAGAATATTAAAGTTATATTTAATAATAAAAAATTTATATTTAATAATATAAAGAAAAGAAAAACCAAGAAGAGACAACCAATAGTTCATTACTGAAGAGAAACAAATGTCATTTGATTAATAAAGAAATAAAAGAGAAACATAAGAAAAGATAATATTAGACATAAACAGACAAAAAGTAAATAATGATAAAAAAAGAAAAGATTATAAGGGTTATCAAAAATAAAAGGTAGTAAACTAAAAAA